TGCACAAGTACAGTAGGTGCCTTTTATTTGTGGTTTACTGCATTAAAAAAGGGCAGGTCTGCACTCATTATTGGAGTGGCCTACAGGGAAAGGCCCCCATTTGAGGTCATTTTAGAGGAAGCACTGGGCAATCATTACTCAGTGGCAGAATGGACTAGGGCAGGGGTGGCGAACCTTGGCACTCCAGCTGTGCCAAAACTACAAATCCCAAAATGCATCTGCCTCTGGGAGTTATGTCTGTGGCTGTCAGAGCCTTGCAATGCCTCATGGGACTTGTAGTTCCAAAACAGCTGGAGTGCCAAGGTTCGCCATCACTGGACTAGGGGATATGTACTGACACATTTATTTTCAATGTCTAACCACTTTCAAGAGAAAAGTTTAAAACCCATTCTCTGTACTACAGTTTACACTCGACACCCTGAAACATATGTTTTCGTCATCCTCTGACACTAGTTGGAGATGCCAACAATAACGTGGCAGTCGCCTTCATATTTGGTGAAGCTGCACAAAACTAGAGTCCTTTTGGAAGAATGCCTTTCAGACATACAACCAAATGCAATCAACATATGTGGCAGAAACTCCAGTGATATTTTGTTTATCCATGCTTCCTGACTCCTGAGGCTCATCAAAAAAGATATTCTACAACACTGTCTACAGGCAGCTCATGCCATTGTCCCTCGAAAATCAAAATCTCCAGATAAACCATCACAATCATGAATGATCTCATACACATGGAGAGCTTGGTGGCCGGAGACTGAGATAAAACAGAATCCTTTATACGTACATGGTCGAGCTGGTTCCTATTCCACACCTTGGACACCTTCAAATTCTTGTTGACCAGGCAAAATGTCCTCCTGGCTGTCTTGCAATTAGATGTGATATGGTACTTAGAACGCTATCTATTACCCCCCCCCCCCCCCAAAAAAACCCATACATACTCTATTACCAATTTTGCTCTCCAATTTATCACTGCTTACGTTCAGTTGTGTCAATTGACCACGGACAACAGTTTGGAAAAGTCCAGACTGATGAAGCGGGACCCATACGTTTCTATTTTTTTGGGAAAACGTTGTTAAAATGCTTATAAAAACAGATTTAACACACCACAAAAAAGCAGGTCTGTAGGGGTAGCGTGGAGTCTTTGAGATAGCCCAAAGTGGTACCAGCTCACACAGGCACTGTGTAATCTCCAGCCTGGCAGCTCACAACACCAACTACCCATCCTCTGATGCTGAGTGAGAGGACTGCACCTATTGACACTGCACCAACAAATAGCCCTGTTCACCACAGTGTCTGCACCCTCCACACCACCATGACAGAAACTTTGCCACCACTGTGCCTTCACACTATTCCCAGGCATGCTTTCACCACCACAGCTGAAAAAACTCTGGGCTCTCTGACTCTGCACCAAAACACGGCTCTGTGCTTACGACCACTGCACCACTGCACTGCGCGGTACTTCTGTGCTCTCCGCCATTCAACAGTCACACTTTTGCTAGTTCTGTAAAATGACAGTTGTGTAGGGTTGGCATGATATTCTCTAAAGTTCAGAGAAAATGCAGCTTCTGTACTATAGTTGCCTTAGATAAAATTGCTGGGTTGTTCTTGTGGGAAGCAATAGTGCACCTAGTTGCTGTCAGACTATAATCCAGGAGGTGATGAAAAGGGTTTTCAAGTGATAACATTCGTTTAGCCAGTAGTAAGAAAAGAAACTAGAGGACATTCGACCCAACTAAAGTAGAAATGCAAAATGATTTCATGTTTAAATTGGTCAACCTCAAAAAAATGGACAGCATATACCAAACAAGAACAAACTGCACTGGAAATGAGGACGAGTGGCCATACAGAAGCAAAGCACCGCAACAGGAATAGACTAACAAGAGAGATGGTTGCTAGATGTCACAAAAGTACTATCTCTAAAATTGTAGAACTAAAGCAGAAGTTCTGTGACTAATATTTACAAAATTTAATAAAAAATCTTGCTAATTAAGATCAAATTGACTAAAACCAAATTACTCGTCATTTAATAAGACAATTACCTACAGAACTATTTTTGTTTAGAAATTGCATGTCTTACACAGATAGAATGAACGGTATTATTATTTATACAATTTGTAATTTACTGCTGCTTGTGCCAGGCTAATGACCAGCCACTTGCTTGATGTAAAAAAAAACAGAGATTACAAATGAACTATGTCTAGTATGACAAGACTGCCGTTCTTGATGATTGATGCCAAGTATGCACTTCAGGGGAAGTGACATTGTGTCATTCACATGCTACTCAGACTTAAACCACCACTACAGCAAAGCAGTGGCAATATAATACGATACTAATCTGATGATTTGTACCAATGTAATGGTAAATTGAAAATAACAAGTATGTAAGCAATAAACCTTTTCCGCAATGATGATATCCCTTCTTGGAATCGTTTACTTGATACATACAAACTAAAGGAAAAGATTTACATTTAAGCGACTGTCGCTTGAAAGAAAAAAAATATGAACAAGCAGCCTACAAAGAAGTCCTATAATACTTACCTCTCCAGTGGTAGGTGAGTGTACATTTTGTTCTTCTCAAAAACGATGGCCCTTGGTTGTGTCAGATGCATGCATACCCTGAGCCCCCTGGAAGCCCCAGGGGAGACAGGGGCAAGGATGAAGGAAGGGCACAAGTGCCAAGATGCAGGAACTGATGACAGGAACTCAGGAGTGCTGGTATCAGATGTGCAGGGGTACAGCCATTGTTACACCAAGGATAGGAGTGCAGCCCACAGGCCAAAAAATGTGATCCTGTTTTACTTGCAATGCTCTAAAAATATTATATTGTGAGGGTTTTGTTATTTGTGCTTGTGCTATATTAGTCTTTGTAACTATATTTGGTCTCCTCTATAATTATCAACTTGCTGCTCCACAGCTTCCTATTGAATGGTGAAGGTTTCTCTAATTCATGTATTTTATCAGATATTGGATAGAGTAGGGAATAATTACAAACCGTGTCAGGTTTTTACCTGTGTCCCATTCGAGAGATTTCCCTTCACTTTACTTCCTGCACTGTAGTCACCAAAAAAGTGAGATGAAATCTTTCCATAGTGAGGTAAACACTTCTTAGCTGTGACCCGAACAAGTGTCCCCATTTGAAGATTTCCCCTCAATTCCTGTTTTGGTGACAATTCGAAATTTGGCTTTTTTTCTCATTTTCAATACTCATGACAATGGTCACTAGGACAAACAGAGAGGGTGAATCTACTTAAAGAAGAACTTTACTCATATCTTCAAAATAACAACAAAGGTACCTTTAGAAATGTTTATTAATGACAATCTACAAACAGATACTTCTAGATAATTGCCGGCTTTGTATTCGTTGCATACCTTATTTCTCTTTTCTTCCCCAGTCTTCTGACAGTGGCCATGTTTACTACGGGCATTTTACTAGATCTCCCTGTGTCCATGCACATCATCTCAGGGGAGGAAAATGCCTTTCCCTGAAATCTCATGAGATTACAGATTAGCTTTCCCAACAATGCACTGGTGACATAACCTTCCCAGGATGCAATGCTTGGGCACGATTACATCATTTGTGCCACAGTTGAACTGGAAGTGGAAAAAATAAATTGTAAGTAAAATTAAAATATGTTTGTTTCGCTAATGAATGAATAAATGACTCCATATTGGCATGCAGAGTTGTATACTGATGTGATTTTTAGTCACCGGGGGTAAAGGTCCACTTTAATGAAGACACAGACAGGGTCTGACATGGTTTTCAAACCTATACCACTCTGTCCAACATTTTTAAAAAGTTTTAGCTTCAGATACACTTTACGTTTTTATGTGGTAGAATGAATAATAATTGTTTCCTACTATAAAAAAGGGGAAACAGTTTCTTTTTTAAATGTTCTGTACTTTTTTCCTTATATAATAAAAAATAAAACCCCAGTGGTGATTAAATACCACCAAAATAAAGTTCTATCTGTCCCCAAAAAAATAGTATAAAATTAATTTCAGTACAGCGTTGCATGACGGAATAAATGTCAGTCAAAGTACCACAGCGCTGAACACTGAAAAATGGCCTGGACTGTAAGGGAATGTAAACACCCCGGTCAGCAAATGGTTAAATATTTGGGTAAAGGTCCGCTTTAAAGTATTAAACTCTCAATCTATTTTTCAATAATGAACGCAGATCAAACAAATATGCATTGATCAGCAAAGTATTTCTGTACATTTTGGCCCAAGTACTTACAGTCATCATGTTTCAGAACAGCTCCAACTCTCTCAGCTCCACTTCCCTGAACTCCCTGTCCAGTACAAGCTCACACGGGACAGATCGGTCTCCAGCAGCCATCCATCTACTAGAGAAGAGATGAGGAAGTGTAGAGCAGGGAGAAGGGAAGTGTTTTGCACTGCTGTGCCTGTTTGTGGAGACACACACACCTTACTAGCACACACAAGGGTGGCTCCATAGGACCCTGCATATTAGGACCAGTGCTAAGGGGACCAGCTGATTCTGTGGGAAACTAAAACTTGCAAACCTCAAGTAGCAGCATTCATTGTAAGGGATGTAAAGCATTTGAGATAACTTAAAATCCTTATGGCTTTAATATCACATTAAACTCCAAACCTTCTGTATTCAGCAATAGTGAAAAGATTACAATATATTATTAATACTGTGAAATAGTCTTTTTATTACTTTTAATAACCCACTGAAACAGGAAGTAAAGTAAATATCTTCCAATGGGGACACAGGAAGCAACAAACCCCAACAAACTATCTGCCAAGATTTAACAAAAGTCTATATAACCTGCAAGGAATCTACATTATGTAAAGCTGCTAAAAGATCTGTTTAGTTTTAATTGCTGACCTTTTATTATACTTTTCTTTTTGTTCCTATAAAAGCGACCAACCACAAACAGACACCTTCGCGTCAGTAATCACAACGTGGGCGGGGCAACACACGCCAATCACAGCGCCAGGAGCGCGGCATCGAGGTGTGGAACGCACAGTGCGCCTCATCGGTACCGGAAACAGGAAGCGGAAGTAGAGGAGACAAAAATAAAGTCTTTTAGGTTGTGCGCTCACCGGTTGTCCTGACCCGAAGATGGGGAATACGAGCAGCGAGAGGCCTGGACCCCTGAAGGGGCGAAGGGACAGCGGCGGTGGTGCCACCAAAGGGGAAGACAGGGCCAAAATTTTAATGGACAGCCCAGAGGACGCTGACATGTACACGACCGAGGAGAGCAAGGTGAGTCAGAGTGCGGGTCATTGGTATTCTCTGTCACTGCTGTGCCCTGTAGGGAAGTAGAGAGTGGAGGAGGGGGGCAACCTGCAGGGAGACCTGACATATGAGACTTGTCACGAGGGTGACGACAAATCGGTGCTGCTTGCAGTGACAGACACAGACATCTGGGTGTGTGCAGGGACAAGGTCCAAAGCCTCGTGTTTACAGGGAGAGCACACACTCCAGCCTTCTAGGCTTATTTCAGTCTACCATGTCACTAGGGCTGCTGTAAGAAGTAGACAGTGTTCATATGTCAGTTCACACACATTCTGATTTATCATGGTCATGATTATGTTTAGCTTTTGGTTTGTGTTTTTATAGTTTGAACATATTGATTTCTAGTACTCATCAAAGCTCAGCTCCAGGAAGATGATAAAGAAGGCCCAATCATGTAGCGCCAATACAGACATTCATGTTCAATGCATGTTCCTGAATTCGATTTGGTATCGGCCTCTTTCAGGTCTACATGCAAATGCTGACAATTAGAGATGAGCCCGGCCTTGGTACAAACCCAGTGAAACAAACGGCAACCACACTCCAATTCATAACCAGCTTTAATGTAAGGCGCACATGGAAGGGCTTTACACAGTACACATCAAATGTTTCCCAGCGCACTCACCAGCCAGCATGCAAAAAAAAAAACTTCACTGTCTACCCTATTGGGGTGAAAAACAGAGGTTTGGTTGCAAAACATGTGGAAGGCACACTGCTTCATCAAGGCCCCTGTGTGTTGTGTGGTCCTAACTCGATCTATGAGAGCCTCCATTTTGGAGCATGTATAGCAAAGGAAGAATTAGGTGCAGGTTTGCCAGGAGGCAGCCCAACCTCTTTAAAAGCACAGAGACATACTAGAAGCTCCGCTCCTCACAACGGCAGCTGAAGCCCCAGGCTCTTGCCAGAATTTAAATTGGTCATCTATTCACAGATGTTTTGACAGGAACAATTTTTTTTTTTCATGACCCGTCATTTTGATTTGGAAGTGAAAAATGATGGCTCTCTCACAATTTGTAGTAAATCAGTGGAAGGCGATCAGAGGTCATATTTACTGCCTTCACAGTGACGTCTAGCAGGAGGCAGTAGCTCTGTGTTAGTGTTATAGAGTGTTTTGTCTTTGGATGTTATCAGGAGAGATGGCAGCATCACAACCAGTGCACTGAGATGGGTCTAGCTAGAAGATGGAGATGTATACAGTGTGTGTATAATGTATATTAGGGGTATACCGATACTAGTATCGGTGCTGATACCCAGTATTTGGCCGAGTACTTGTACTCCCAAATACTCCTGAAGCTTATTCCCATAGCGGAACTTCCGGTATCAGGAAGCCGGGCGGCGAGTCATTACCTGGCTTCCTGATTGGCCAGAAGGCCAGCTCCATGCTTTCTCATCACCAGGTAATCAGGAAGCTGCTTGGCGAGGCATTACCCGCCACCTGGCTTCCTTAATGGGACTTCCAGTATCGGTGAGTACTGCAAAAAAAATATCGATACTGAAAAACTAGTGTTGGTGCATCCCATATATATATATATATATACATACATACATACATACATACATACATCAAGCGATGGAGCGTCTCCAGAGACGCTCCATCGCTTGTATCAGAAGCTGTCACTGCCGTGTTCGGTCCCGAGATCCGCTGTGCCCAGTGCGGCTGGGACCGGCACGGCTCTGTGACAGGAGCTCAAAGGGAGTTCAGTATACAAACTCCCTTTTGATCTCCTTTCAGTCCCCGAATGCAGGAAGTGATGTATATTACATCACTTCCTGCATTCAGTGTCACTCTCCAGCTGGAGAAGCTGATGAAGCCGATCTCTATATATTCCGCAGAATATTTGTTAGTTTCTACTGTTTTAGGTGATATTTTGGGTATGTTCACCTTTTCTTCTAGGCTCCAATGGAAAAAGATGAATTCTTGGCATGGCAGCATGATTTAGAAGTAAATGACAAAGCTCCGACTCAGGCTCGTCCAACAGTTTTTCGGTGGACTGCAGGAGGGAAAGAAATTTACTTAGCGGGGTCCTTTAACAACTGGGGGAAAATCCCTCTCACAAGAAGGTATAACTTGTTTTCTATTCTGATTTTCTTTGCATGTTAAAATGAGTCTTAGTTTTGTAGTTATTTCCATGTTTGTCTGTTTTTCATTTTTACATTTCCTTCCCTTTATAACATTCAAAATATCATTTTTTGGAGGAATATTTTGCAACTATCGGCTGTAAATTCCTGAAAAACCTAAAGAATCTTTAAACAAATGGCCAGATGTTTTTTTTTTTTTTTTTTTTCTTGTAATGCAGTTAATGTCTTGTTGAGGACACATCTTTTGTCACACTGCACAACTAGTAAGGTGACCCTCTCCCTAACGTACAAATGCGCACTCTCTCCTCCTCTTCATTCAGCTTTGTAGATTCCTGTTACTTCTCCGTCTGCATCCGTCTTAATGGGTAATGAATCCACGTCATCACACTTCTAATTTCTTGTATGATATATGAGCAGATGACAGAGGAAGCTGTAGAGCTGAACCTGCAAATAGCAAAGTGATCTTCTTGGCTATGCAGTGTGACATGGGTGGGAATTCTAGGACCAGCTGAACAGAAAAACATATATATGTATTTGAACTGTTTCTTGTTAAATCCCTGCTGCAACTTACAGAAAAAAATGCATTGCCCTGTACTGGTAAAAGCTCGGGCTGCAATACTCAGCTTCTCTCTGATGTTATCTTCAGCAGACTCACCTCTCTGCAGTCTAAAGCTATTGTCATTGTCTGGGTAATAGATGCCCAACGTCATTCAACCCACTTCCTGTGAGCCCATATCTTCATGCACAGCCACCGTGTGCTCACAGAATACTGCTGAGATTGACACCACAGCATTACTTGAGCTGACGTAGAGTTTAAAGAGCTCCTCTATATTAAATGAGAACTATGGGGTTAGGGCTTTTCCCCATAGTTCTTCTAAGTGTCACGGGAGGACACAAACTAGCGTCCTCCCGTCACCCTAGGCTCAGTATACCGCGAGCTACAGCCCGCGGTATACTGAGACGCCGCAGCCAGGGCGGATCCCGACAATTCTGTCTGGATCCACCCAGCTGCGGGATTGACAGTTGGCTCTGCCTATCCAGAGGCAGAGCCAGCTGTGCCCACCCCCTCCCCCGTCCGTATACTGAGACGCCGGAGCGGGTCCCGACATCGATGTCGAGATCCGCCCAGCTGCGTGAGTGACAGCTGGCTCTGCCTATCTAGAGGCAGAGCCAGCTGTGCCCTCCCCCGTCCATTCCGCCAGTCAGCGCTAACGGGGAGGGGGGAATCCAGCCCCTCCCCTGTCACGACAGAGAGCCGTGACAGGATCGAGAGGTGAGCGAACGCCGGTACGTGTTCGCTCACTTCCCGATCTACTGAGCCGACCTGTGACAGTCTCATTGTCACAGGTCGGCTAGAACTATGAGGTGAGTGAGAAGCACTCACCTCATAGTTCTCCTTTTAAATTAAAATATCTGAACAAGCTGGACTCATCTCAAGTGATCATCAGTGTTGCATTCATTTGAGTCTCTGAAATGGGTTTCCTTTGTGTTGCAGCCACAACAACTTTGTAGCAATATTAGATCTCCCAGAAGGGGAACACCAGTACAAGTTTTTTGTCGATGGTCAGTGGACTCACGATCCTGCTGAGGTAATCTTGTTTTGTTGTGGAGACCTTTTACAAACAGAAGCCTCTGTGCTACGTACAGTATCGGGTAACCGACTGCTTTATCATTTGTGTTTCTTTGCACAGCCAGTAGTAACTAGCCAGCTTGGGACTATAAACAATGTCATTAATGTGAAGAAAACCGATTTTGAAGTCTTTGATGCCTTAATGGTCGACTCACAAAAAGGCTCTGATGTGTCAGGTATGAAACGTCCACAAATGCTTCATAATGCAGTGCAATTTATTTATTTTTTTATAACCAGTCATAAAAATTGGACACAGTAAATACATACACAAGTGTCCATATAATTGTCGGTCATTTCACTGTATTAGGTATATATTTTAAATGGGGTGCTGTTATGGAGGGCATGGGTAGTTTAGATTTCCTTTGTCCTGTTTGCTTTAAACTCCCATTTTGCACTTCCTGCCTCTGGCCTTTGTGCCTGAGGAGTTAAGGCTGAAGATAAATCCTCATTGACTCCCCCGACCCATTAATATGCTTATATAGTGTATATTGTTATCAATAAAACCTGTACATCCATACTCGTCACATATTTATGTATGCATATTTAAGGGCTCGTTCACACCAAGCGCGTTCCAGGATCAGAGCAGTTACAGACCGGATCAAAACTGCGTCCAATGTATTCCAATGGTATTTTGGGCTCTAGTTCACACCGCAGCGTTCAGTTCCAGAGCATGTAAAAAAAAACTGCAGCAAGCCCTATTTTTCCTGCTCTGGAACGCATCAAAAACGCACTGAAAGACCATTTCTAAAATATAATTTCTATTTTAGTTTTGATAGAAACGGCTCGGAACACCGCAAAACACACTGCACTGCGTGTGCAGAAACTCGTGCAGATCTGGTCCGCATTTGGTGTGAACAAGCCCTTAGACAACAACAGAATGCTGTTTTGATAAACTTGCAGCAGTTTGTAAGGTCAAGCCAAGCATTCATGTTTCTGGCCTCAGCAAAGAACTCCTAAACATGCATTGACACTTGGGCTTTAAAGGATGTAGTCTGCTTGGAAGGGTGTAACCAGCACCTAAAGTACTTGTATATCCATTGGCTCTGATTTCTGATCTAGCTGTATATGCTCAGTCCTGAATACCTTTGTAATGCCATAGGTCACAATGAATGGCCATGAAGTGCATTGTTTTCATTGGATTATCTACATCTAGTACCATGAAAAGTAATGTGTATATCTCTTTTTGTTTAACCAGAGCTTTCCAGCTCACCCCCTGGTCCTTATCTGCAGGATGCATATAACTGTAAGCTGGAAGAACGTTTCAAGTCTCCCCCTATCCTTCCACCACATCTGCTTCAAGTCATTCTTAATAAAGACACAGGCATTTCAGTAAGTATACAAAAATTCAGCAGATGCTGTCAGATAAGTTTATTTTATCGGACTTCAGGAATTCAGACTGTATGATCTGCTTAAAATATTAACAGAACAGTGTTTTATATAAAGCAAACCTATTTCACAGTGGTTTACAGGGTACCCATATGCCCTCACATCTATCTCTGCCATGGGAGGAGCTAACAATTTGTAGTCTTTAGACATCCGCTCAGCCACGCCCCCTCTTGCCTGCGAGCTGGTAAAGCCCAGAATTTAAAAACGGGCAGCGATGCCTGTTAACATACAAGCGACCCGCCGGCTCTCGCTGGTATGGGGTGCCGATTCGCGTTGCCCCTCCACTCTCCCCTCCCACTGTCACGCTGGTCCCGGGCTCCGCTGTGCACGGTGTGAGCCCGGGACCAGCATAGTGCCTGTCAGAGGGAGATCGGTACACGATCTCCCTTCAGTCCCCTCCTCGCTGTCAGAATGCGGAAGTCTTGTATATTACATCACTTCCGCATTCTTGTGTCACTCTCCAGCTTCAAAGCTGATGAAGCAGATCTCTGCTTCATCAGGGGGGTCCTAGGTGACATAAGGGGTCTTGGAGACCCCTGATGTCTCCATAAAGAGGATCTGTCACATCTTTTGCTATCACATAGGGGGTTTGCGCCCATTACGCCGCACATGTTGCATATCTATGGCCACTTTTGGGTATGGTAGTTTTCTGCGATTTCGTGGGTGAGCGCAATTTTAAGGATTGACATGTTTGGTGTCTATTTACCCGACGTGACCCCCGTCTTTTATATTTTACCAAAAAATGTATTTGGTAATAATTGTTTCCTAACATAATGTAAAAAAAATACTTTTTTTTTTTTTTCCAATTTTTTTCAGTCATTTTTCCTTAATATAGTAAAAATACCACCAAAAGAAAGCTCTATCTGTCCCCAAAAAAATGGTATAACATTTATTTCAGTACAGCGTTGCATAACTGAATAAATGTCAAAGTACCGCAGCGCTGAATACTGAAAATGGCCTGGCCAGGAAGGGGGTGTAAACACCCCGGTCAGCAAGTGGTTAAAAACCCCACCAACTGCTCGTGTAACATGACAGTAAATGGGAAGGGATAAGTGAAGAGGTATGATAAACTCATTTGGTCTAAGGTCAATTGAGATGGCCTTTCTTGGGTGGGAATTTGGGGTAACTCCAAGTAAGACTTAGAGCCAGCAGAAGTTCAATACTAATAACTTAAAATTCTGTTTTTGACAGTGTGATCCAGCTTTGCTCCCGGAGCCCAATCATGTCATGCTGAATCACCTCTACGCACTGTCCATTAAGGTACATCTATTTATACCATTCTCTTGCAGTTACTCCACCTGTAGCATCAGCCGTTCTTACATCATTGTATTCTTCTTTTAGGATGGTGTGATGGTGTTAAGTGCTACTCATCGTTACAAGAAGAAATATGTCACCACACTGCTGTACAAACCCATATGAGCTGCCTCCATAGACTGTACTCCTTGAAATTTATGCCTTTTTTCACTTTTTTATATATTAAATGCATTAAATATTTGCAAAATAAGCTATAGCTGTCAGTAATGCGTTGAGCATTATATTGGTTCACGATTCACTGTTAGAGCTATATTGACAGTGCTGCGGTTGTTCTAGATCTGTCTCAATTGCACATTTATTTGGCTTAAGTAGGGGTAGCAACCATTCAAATGATGTTTGCACTTTCCCGGCCTATAAGAGTGCCCTGCTGGGTTGGGCAAGGGACAGCACTAGCGAATAGATTCGATCTCCTGCAGCCATTGTTTTCAGCAATATTCTCTTGTTAGATGTTTGATTGGCTTAGGTTGTGTGGCGGTCAACCATAGGCTGTAATGCAGATCCCCTGCTTCTGTGTTCTGCATTGAGCTGAGTGTGGACATGTTAGAGTTTTATTACAGAGGGTTTAACACAACCCTACCAGTCACTTTATTTATTCTGTTCCTTGGTAACATCTTTTTGCTCAACTGAAATAAATGAGTTCTGTAAGGTATTTGTAGGAGAATCCGAAGTTATTGACGTGTTTTTTTTTTAATTTTTACCATAAAGCCATCTTCATTGGAAAAACCATCGTAAGGCATGGAGGTGGTATGTAAGTTGAAACCTGTGTAGCCATACAGTATGTTGGTTACAGTATGTCTGGGCTGGGGAGGTGGTAATCCTCCCCTTTTTATCCTCCAGGCTTCACAAGCTCCATTCAGTATTTTACATCCATATATGTGTACTTGATAGTGCAGTGTGTTTTATCTGTACATTTTTTTTTTTTTTTCCTTTTTTTTTTTTTTTTTTTTTTTTTTTTCCCCCTACAAAATGTGTATAAACTTGTACAAAAAAAAAAAACCTGTCTTGTTTATGTTTGCATACGCACTATGCATGCAGGTTGTTGTGGAGACTTGCTGGAGTGAATTAATTAAATCTGAAGAAAATATGTTCGAACAAAAGTCAAAGCCAAATCTGGTTGGATGATTGAGCATTTTTAACCGCTTGCCATCCGCCCGTTGTAAAAAAAATGGATGGACGGCAAACTCCCATTGGCGGGTCGCGGTAATTAAATGGTCGCCCGTGCCCCCCTAGCGCATGCACGGGCAGAAAAAAAAGAGCCGAATGCAGCGGTTACCGGCTGTTAGACATACAATCAATCGGCGGCTCTATATATGTGCTGCCATGCGTGCGACCAGTTCGACGACGCCCCCCCCTCTTGCACCCTCACCTATAATCCCAGTCTCCGCTGCCCCATCTGCGGCCTTGGACCGGCTCGGGAGGGTGTTAAGAAGATGGGAGTGAGTTCAGCATCTTCCTCCTTGACGATCTCCCTCTGTGTATTCAGCTGTCAGTCATCTGGCTGCTATAGCCAGAGAGAAGAAGCTGATGAAGCAGGTCTCTGCTTCATCAGCTTCTTTGGGGGTCCCCGGGGACATTAGGGGTCTTAGAGACCCCTAATGTGTCCATAAAGAGGACCTTTCAGTGTGCCTTTGCTATTATATAGGGGGATTATTATCCCCTATGTGATTAGCAATAACAATAAGTGTAAAAAAAAAAAAGTCTCGTATAAAGAAATGTAAAAAAAAAAACAAAACCATTTTTAAGGCCCCCACCCCCACGTTTACGCACATATAAACTTAAATATGCGAACGTCGAAGTGAGAGCAATAATTTTAGGGCCATCAATCACTGATTACAAACTTTTACTGCTCATCAGTTTAGTGTTAAGTGTCGCCTATGGCCAATTTTGGGTATTGTAGTTTTTTTGAGGTTTCGCGGGTATGCGCAATTTTAAGGCTTGGCATGTTTGGTGTCTATTTACCCAACATGACCCCGTCTTTTATATTTTACCAAAAAAATTGGGTATTATCAAATGTTTTATAATTTAATATAGGTCATTTTTCCTTAATATAGTAAAAAATAAAACCCCCAGTGGCGATTAAATACCACCAAAAGAATGCTTTGTGTCCCCAAAAAATGGTATAAAATTAATTTCAGTACAGCGTTGCATGAAGGAATAAATGTCATTCAAAGTAATGCAGTGCTGAATACTGACAAAATGGCCAGGACAGAAAGGGGGTTTAACACCCCGGACTTCAAGGGGTTAATTCAGGCCATAAATGTGCAGCTGCTCCATGAAGTTCATAAATGGCTTTTGAGTGGCTTGACTTTTTTTTTAATGTATGTTTTACATGATATGCAGACATTTATGTAAACTAGTCATCGGCCATGTATCGCAGTCTTTAAAAAAATGTAGAGGAGGTTTTCCTGGGGTTCATTGGAGAGAAAATTAAGTGCAGTCTTCGCGTCCTGACACTTACATGTACATCTCTGGTTTAGAAAGGTTATTATTATGGCAGAAATTTCTACCTTTTTTTAAAGAAGGATAACTCAAGGTAAAATTGCCCTACAAGGGTTAAGTGCTCATTTTGTTCTAAGGACACACAGATTGTCCTTTTTAATTAAAGAAATGGTGCAGGAAAAAATATACAGAAAACAGATGTTACAAAAAAGAGACAGGTATATAACCGCAGCAAAAATAAGGAATACAATTAACAATACTTCACAGTCCTGAGTTTTGTAAGTTCTGATGCAACAGCAGATAGATCCAGGTGGCGCTCTCAAAGTAAGACAGAGAGTTGGCTTTTGATGGTGTAAAAAGTGTTCTGTGGATGTTACAAAGAGCCTTCTTTGGATGGTACAAGCTTTGCAGCTGACTTTATCAGTCCTTTAGGTGGTATTCCTGAGTTGGCCCATTTGGCAGGGCTGGGCAGGGTAACCAGGAGGGCTAAGCCTTTATGATGGCCTTCTCTGCTCTTCCCAAACTGTCCAATTTTATTTTAATAAACATATTCCTTTTATGTTTATAGTTTAGTCCTAAATAAAATATAGCTTTATTGTGTTTCATGAAATTTTATCTTTTTAGATCAATCACAAACATGGCATGTGTGTGAATTATGGCTGGCCCAGGAGGGGTTAATGGGGCTCGTCAGGCCTCTGACCATTGTAACCTACCCATGATTGATATGTATAGATTTCGCTGGATGAGTTGAAGTTAATTTAACTGTCATTCACCTGTTCCGTGTTATGAAAATTGGGTTAATATTGCAACTCTTGGTTTATGACTCCATGCTGGATACCACACATTCCTTCCTTACCCTCCAGGCGATCTGTAAGGAATTAGATGAACTGTGCAGGACAATTATTGTGGTATTGGCTATTTACGACACCTGTCATAAAGAGACCATTAAGGCTAATTCTCACCAGGCCTAGGGAATGCTTTAAATAAACAGGTTTTGGTGCAAAGGGCTTTTTATGATCCAAGTGGCCAGCTTAGCAGATCTGAAGCTAGAATTTAGAATGTCCAAACAAACTAGGAAGGAAGCATTCTGTCCAAGTGAGGGAGATAGAATTCCTAATTAATAATGAGATGCTCAAATCTCATTAATGTCAATGAGCATAACTTTTTTTTTTTTTTTTAATCTAGACACAAATGAGCAGTTAACCCTTGTAGTGCTTTGGTAACCCAAATGCATGCAAGGGTTAATAAAAATTGTTTTTAAAAATCCTGGCCTTTAAAGCTAAGGCACCTAGTGAAGTCAGCTAAGATGAAAACACAGACCTAGCATAATTGAAGAAAAAAAATACAACAGTGTTTTTATACTTTGCTCTGTGTGCAAGTGAGCCCTGTTTTCAGCTTATGACTTCAACTATGTGTGAACAGCTGATTGAAAAGGTCCAGTGTCTGCAGAGGTGCTACTTAAGTACCATGTCCTGCATTAGAATGTCAATGTGGTATTCACCATTTGTTCAGAAAATGTAAATAGTGTTATGAACCTGAGAAATTAAAACTGAAGAAAAGCAAGTATTGACATTTACAGGTGAAGTTAAGATTTGCATAAAGCTTCAGCTGTCTGCCTTATTGGATGGCCTAATTGTTTTGACATGCAGTTTTCACTTAAGGTAACCTCTGCTTATGCATCATGTCTTCTTATGCGGCTCAGATTGCATCCCACAAGTTTCTGACAGGTTTGCTTTAAAGGGTGTCCAAACACAACATCAAACATGTAATATATTGCAGTTTTGATGTGGTTGCTGCATTCATTTTCTGTTTTGAGCAGTACACTTCCTGCAAGTATAGAAATATACCTTGCCAGAATTCCAGTGTACTTGTAACTTCCTTATTTCAAATGTCCAAGCTATGTTATGTGAACTACAGGACATGTCCCTCTTATGTGTAGCTGAAATCAGGAAATCAGATCAGGGTGTCAACGCTGCTCCTCCATAAATGCAGTACAGTGAGTGAGTGTTTCACTCTGAGACGGGAACTGTTACTGGCAGGATCATTTAGGTGGGGGGGAAAAAAGAACACTAATGCAGCAACCACACCTAAGGCCCGATAAGCGTATCGAACCCCCCTCAAAAGAATGTAATGTCCTACTAGTAAGAGATTGAACACTTCACCTAGAAGAATACCCTAGTAAAGGTGGCCATACATTGTACGATTTTAGTTTGGAAATCATACATGAACGGTCTTTCAAACTCAAATCCAACAGTTGATGGTACATCACTGATTTCCGTTTTTGATATTGTGATCAAAAATAAACATTTGTGCAATTATCGCAGGGCCTACAAATTTAGTAGCACTATCTTTTTATTCTACCGGGCCTACGCTTTCAGAAAATATATGGTTTTGGGGGGTCTTTTACAAACGCTAGCAACGCAGCAGTAGAAAATCAAATCAATGGGAAAATTTGCAAAAATGCTGTGGCCAGCTGAGGTGTAAAGCGATATGGGGGGTTTGGCTGCGAAAGGGTTAAAGAATAGTTGCGCCTAGTGGTAAATAAAAGCTACATTGGACTAAATGATTATTTAGATATAGAAGGTTGAACAAGGAATGGTTCTATGCATGATGGGGCAACTAATTCCAAAACTCTTGACTCTGCCAGCAGAGGTGATGGCAACAAGGTGGACCACCTTGCGAGTAAGATCCGCCAGAGAGATATTTTTCATTAGTTCAAGGGGACCATGCTGGAGAGAAGAAAACACCACACACTGACATCTCATGGAGCCAATGGAGGACATCTAGGGGGGGCCACAAGGATGACCCCTTGCACAAAGACCTTTTCCAAAAAAATGAGGACAGCCAAGGCCTATATCTGTTGCCTGAGAGGGCTCAAGGTGAAATGCTGATCCAGTCCTGACTGGATGAAGGCCAGAATGTCTGCTGTTTACATCAGGCAAAGTAAGCCTTCCAGGTGTGTTACAGCTAAAGGTGCCCATACACTGCTCGATTCTCGTACGAGAATCGAGCAGTGTGAACGAAGACGTGCGACCGTTTCTACTGTACGGTCGCACGTCTTTTGTCTAGGGAAGCACGCTAGAAAACCAGCCGAAAATTGTACGATTTTCGGCTGGTTTGAACGGTGCTCGGGAGACAAATGCCGAATGGGCCGGTGTGCGCACACGCACACTGCCCGTTCAGCATTGCGGTCATCGAAAGCCCGCCCCTCGGGGGCGGGCTTGCGGTCATCGAGAGTACGATCTGCCTGTCCAAGATGGGCA